AGGACAAGAGGTAATGGCCTCAAGCTGTGCCCGGGGAGGTTTAGATTGGACATGAGGAAAGATTTCTTTACTGAAAGAGTAGTCAAACATTGGAACAGGCCGCCCAGTGAAGTGGTGGCGTCACCATCCCTGGAGGTGTTAAAAAAATGTGTAGATATGGCATTTCGGGACATGGTTTAATGGGCATGGCGGTACTAGGTCAACGGTTGGACTAGACTACCTCAGAGGTCTCTTCCAACCTAATGATTCTATGAAACCATTAACACATGAGGTTATGCTGTCAGTTCCTCAAAAGACAGCAGAAGTTCTTTCAACAGAAATGCTGTTTCAACAGATTAATCTGGTCTATAGCCTGGTAAATTCTGCATAACTGGTCTTGTTAACAACAAGATCGTTAATGTCCATATTCAAATCCCAGTAAGACACTACATCAAGTTAAAAGCTTGTAAAATCCCTAATATATATGTATCTTGAAAGTCTGGAAGCTATAGAAAACTGTTTTCTTCTCAACTAGGCCACTACTCACATTTAGGAGGATAAGCAGACAAATGTGAGTAGCTTAATCTGGCAGCAAGCACCAACACATTTTTTATTAATCAGGAAAACAGGAACAAGTGCAATATAATTACTTTCATAAAACCCAACCTTAAAATCTAGTTTAAGTAATAAAGCATTTGTCACAGTAATAAATGGTGACATTAATGTTCCGCATTAAAAAACCAAATCACAATATACAGCTCCTTTAACTCACAGTAACTTAAAGTGATTTTGTCAGAGTTGCAAAATAATATTCTTGAAAGAAAACACAGAGCCTCTTGTGTTGCCTTGAAAACATGTAAAACCCACAAGCAAACAGTATATTATATTTGTTTTGTAATACTGACTATATCTTTCTTGCAATCCTTAACAACACACATTACTCTACAAAGCTCACAGGAAGCACTATTATAGGTCTATTAATAAGCGTACATATAAAGCAGAACAAAATGAACTTGTACTCTTACCAGCAGAGGTTCAGAAATGTTAGCTAAACTCTTACTTTTTTTCTTAGAAAAAACAGAGTTCTACAAGTACGTAAGCAGAGAGGACAAACCACTAAGTAAACAAAGGATTATTTACTTTAATAGTTATCAATAAAAGTCACTTACTTCCTTCAGGAAAGGAGAGTCTACAGCAAGGTACTTGGACACGACATAAAGGCAGAACAGATGGCGGTCAATGCCAGCACCAGTCATGGCGAGACGATACAAGAGCTGATGTTTGGCAGCAGCAAGCCGAAAGAACTTCAGCTTATTTTCATTCTAACAGTAGAAAAAAAGATGAAGAAAAATCCGTTAAGTGAACTGGATTGAGGATGGCGGTGCAGAAACTAAGTTACAGCAATGGCTCTCAAGCCTAGAGCACCTCGGGTTCAAGCACAAGACAATGCATGCAACTAGCCCCAAACACTAGTAGCCTCTGGCTTTTCAACCTCATGTGTTCCATTTCAGCTGACACATTACAGCTGGTAAGAGTTGACACTTGCTAAACTCAACATAATGAAAACAAATTTGTACCTCCAGTATGATCTAAACCCAGACCCAGACATGATTACAACTCAAGCTCCCTATGCTATTGTGTATTTAGTTTCTAGAGACACTGGTCTTAAAAAATTAAAAAAGCAAAAAAGAGCAAATCTCAGCATGATTTAAGAAAAGCTGGAACTGCAACAGCTATTATAGAAGGCAGACTGACCACACTGAAGGTATTGGGTCCATGAATGCTGGTCATTTTTTAAGAGCTCAGGAGCAGGCAATTCCCAAGTGTTGGAAGTCAAGCAAGCGGGGCTGAAGGCCTGCTTGGCTGGGCAGGATCTTCTTCTAGAACTTGGGAGGAAAATAAAATGGTATGGACATTGTAAGCAAGGACAGGTGACATGGGAGGACTACAGAGGTGCTGTTCACCACTCCAAGGAGAAAATTTGTGTGGCCAAAGTTTGACTAGAGTTCAAGCCAGCCACTACTAAGGACAACAAAAAGGGCTCCTCACCATCTCGCAAGCAGGGACACAGACAAAGCAGAGGCATTCAATGCCTTCTTTGCCTCTATCCTTAACTCTCATGACTGGCCCTGGGACCCCTGGAGCGCTGCCCTGGAAGGCTGTGACTGGGGAGATGACAAACTCGCAGCCAACTCAGAACTTGTTTGAGACTTGCTGCTCCGGCTGGAGGCACATAAGTCAATGAGGGCCAGTGGGATTCATCCCAGGGTACTGAAAGAGCTGGCTGATGTTATCACGGAACCTCTCTCCATTATTTTTCAATGGTCTGAGGAATCTGGAGAGGTCTCAGTCAACAAAGCTAGCAAATGCTGCCCCAATTTTCAAGAAGGGCAAGGAGGCAGACCCTGGTCATTACGGGCCTGTCAGTCTCAATTCAGTGCCTGGTAAAATCATGGAGATGGTCATTCTGGGAGACACTGAAAAACAACTGAGAGACCACGCAGTCACTGGTTACAGCCAACATGGGTTCACGAGGGGACAGCCCTATTTAACTAAATTTGTTTCCTTTGGTGACAAGGTCACCCATCTAGCTGGCCAAGGGAAGCCAGTGGACATGGGATTTTTTGAATTTTAACAAAGCTTTTGATAACTGTCTGTCACAGTATCCTTCTGGACAAAATGTCCAGCACACAGCTAGACAAGCCCATACTACATTGACTGAATAAGGGGCTGACAGGTCAGGCGTGGAGTTGTGACAAATGGTGTTACACTAGGCTGGCAGCCAGTCACCAGTGGGGCTCCTCAGGGCTCAATTTTGGGGCCACTGCTCTTTAAAGTTGCTATAGAGGATCTGGCTGCAGGAGTCGAATGCACATACACAGTATCACTAGCCAGTCGAGGGAGGCGACTGTCCCACTCTACACCACACTGGTCCAGCCCCACCCTGTGTACTGTGTGCAGTTTTGGGCACCTCAATAGAACACGAGGACGACCTCCTCTCCTATTGAGGAGATTTCCAAGATGATGAAAGGTCTCAAGGGTAAGACTTATGAGGAGCGGCTGAGGTCACTTGGATTTTTCAGCTTGGAGAAGAGACGGCTGAGGGGTGCCCTCATGGCAGTCTACAGTTACCTCAAGGGGGGCAGCAGAGGGACAGGTGCTGATCTCCCCTGTCTGGTGACCAGCGATAGGACACAAGGAAATGGAATGAAGCTGCGTTATGGGAGGTTCAGACTAGACATTAGGAAAAGCTTCTTCACTGAGATAGTGGTCAGCCACTGGAACAGGGTCCCCAGGGCACCAAGCCTGTCAGTGTTCAAGGAGAGTCTAGATGATGCTCTTAGTCATATGGTTTAGTTTTGTGCAGTCCTGCCAGGAGCAGGGAGTTGGACTCAATGATCCTTATGGGTCCCTTCCAACTGGAGACATTCTATGACTCTGTGAACATTGCATAAATGTTGCAAGTGCTGAAAGAAAGTGGTTTTGTAATTCTGTTGTAACATTCTGTTACAATTCTATAATGTGGAATGCAGCACACCGAGTACATGGCAACCTGTCACTTATTTCCAGCATCACTGCATTTTACACCTCTGATCTGGGACACAGTGAGCAGCCTATTTCTGTCCAGCATGAGAAACTAATAAATCACTTGTCATGCTAAGCAGGCCTACCACTGGCATTCAGGAGTAAAGTTTTGTGGATAGTCCATGGAGGATACAACTGCTCAGGAAAAAAAAAAAAAAATCTAAGGAAAAACCCAGAGAAAAATAGAAGGAAGCAGTAAAGGCAGACAACTCTTTTTAAAATAGTATATAAATGCATATAATAAAATTTTCATAATACATAAAACTAAAAATTGCATTATGAGTGCAGAATTACTCTGCTCTGTGGCTGATCATTCCAGGTGAAGGGTAGTAACGAGTCAACAAGTCTGAAAGAATCATGTTTGCAGTAGTTATAACAAAAAGTGAACAGAATGAAGTCTGCTACATCTTGCCACATACAGGGCTACCTTATTCCTTTAACAAAAATGCAGACGTTAACTGCAGAGATGCAACAGCAATTAATTCTGACATTAAGACGATGACATGTGGCCAGCAGATGGAGGAAGCTGATCCTGCCCCTCTACGCTGCCCTCATGAGACCCCATCTGGAGTGCTGCCTCCAGCTCTGGGGCCCCCAACACAACACAGACATGGAGCTGCTGGAGCGAGTCCAGAGCAGGGCTACCAAGATGGGCAGAGGGTTGGAACACCTTTCCTGCGTGGGCAGGCTGAGAGAGCTGGGGTTGTTCAGCCTGAGAAAGAGAAGGCTCCAGGGAGACCTTATAGCAGCCTTCCAGTACCTGCAGGGGCCTACAAGAAGGCTGGGGAGGGACATTTTCCCAAGGGCCTGCAGTGACAGGACGAGGGCTAATGGTGGGAAGCTGGGAGAGGGCAGACTCAGACTAGATCCAAGGAAGAAGTTCTTCACCCTGAGGGTGGTGAGACACTGGAATAGGTTGCCTAAGTAATCTGTGGATGCTCCATCCCGTGCAGCGCTCAAGGCCAGGTTGGATGGAGCCTTGAGCAACCTAGTTTGGTGGAAGATGTCCCTGCCACGGCAGGGGGGCTGGAACAGATGACTTTTGAGGTCCCTTCCAATCCAAACCATTCTATGATTCTATGACGACTATGTCAAAAATTACTTTCTACACACAGGGTAGTTGTACAGTAGCTGTGCCCTACAGTTATGTATGATAGGTTGACACAGCTGGATTTCCAGACTGTTTGGGTTTTACAAGTCCTCAAAATTTCACAAGTCATCTCAGTTTTCTAGAGTTCAGGAACTGTAAGAAATGGCATATTTGGCTAAGTTACTGCCATTCTCTTTTGGTATAACCTTGAATTTCTGCCACATTGACAGAAAAGGTGGACAGTTACCTTATGCTACACTTCCTTCCTGAAAAACAAAGGCATCACTCTAAGTGTTTAAAAACTATTTGGGAACTTATACAGATATCTAGCAATAACTCATGTGCCTTATGCATTGTGTAAGGTAACAACACCACGAACTTACACTTTCCATTGGGTCTTCCATGGTTCGAACAAAATTACACGATTCAACAGTGCATGAACGGACAGTTTCGGTCCTGCCTTCTCTGAACAAGCGTGTCATAGAGGCTTCATACGTTAAAGAAAATTTTCCCATGTCCTTAAAAAGGGAAAAATAACTTAAAAGGTTTAGCAAGACTTAGCCCCTCTTTCTTAATCAACAGTTCAAGGTAAGCACACAGGATATGAATCACTCCACAAATTAAACTCAACATTAAGTTTTCAGTAGCTCACCATCAGCAGTCTTACCTAAAGATAACAAATGCAAAAAATAACATTAGTAGTATGATTTGATAAACAGTAGTAGAACAGTTGAACTAGCAAGGACTACCCTCTCTGTTTTACATTCAATTTTCTTCAGTTTATAACAGAAGCTGATCTAAAGGGCATCAAAATACAAATAAAGGCTGTGCGATGAATAGATTGAGAGCAGCCCTGCAGAGGGACTTGGGGGTGCTGGTGGATGAAAAGCTGGACATAAGCCAGCAATGTGCACTTGCAGCCCAGAAAGCCAACTGTATCCTGGGCTGCATCCAGAGCAGCGTGGCCAGCAGGTTGAGGGAGAGGATTCTGCCCCTCTGCTCTGCTCTGGTGAGACCCCAGCTGCAGGGCTGCCTCCAGCTCTGGGACCCCCAGCACAAGACAGACAAGAAGCTGTTGGAGCAGGTCCAGAGGAGGCCACAAAGATGCTCAGGGGGCTGGTGCACCTCTCCCACGAGGACAGGCTGAGAGAGTTGGGGTTGTTCAGCCTGGAGAAGGCTCCAGAAGACCTTATTGTCGCCTTCCAGTGCTGAAAGGGGGCTACAGGAAAGGTGGGGAGGGACTCTTGATCAGATAGGGTGGTGACAGGACCAGGGATAACAGTTTCAAACTGAAAGAGGGGAGATTTAGATTAGATATTAGGAAGAAATTCTTCCCTGTGAGGGTGGCGAGGCACTGCCACAGGTTGCCCAGAGAAGCTGTGGCTGCCCCCTCCCTGGCAGTGCTCAAGGCCAGACTGGATAGGGCTTGGAGCAACCTGGTCTGGTAGGAGGTGTCCCTGCCCACGGCAGGGGGGTTGGAACCAGGTGGTCCCTTAAGGTCCCTTCCAACCCAAACCATTCTGCGATTCTATGATCCAAAAGCCTATTTGAGAGTTCAGTGGGTTCCTAATTAACACAGCTGTGGTAAGTAATAGAGAAAACTAACATCCTTAGAAGTATTTTCAGTTACAAGTTTAACAGCATGGAGACACATGCCAGTGTGGGGATTTTCAGTAACGTGAGAAGTGAAAGCAGTCTGCAAAATCCAGGAAATACGGCTTCCGTATTTCCTGTAGATCTGCACACTGATTAAAAGTGGTCAAATGATAGAAGTTATCTAACACTTGTTAGCAACTCTACCTGTCTAAAATATACATCAGAACAGATCATGAAAGTCTGTTCAGTTTTAGATTAAGAGGAAAAATGTTCAAAATAAAAAGAGAGATGCATGGATAAGCAAACTATTTACCAGGTAACTACATTAAACAATGGTAAGAAAGACTGTAAGTGGTGATAACAGCCAGGAAATCTGGATGCTTTGAAAAGCCATTTGGAATTACTTAAAAAAAAGAGAGACAACTAGAAAGCAAAATGAAAAACATGCATGTTGCTACACTGCTGTTTTCTGAAAGCACATTACAAGAAAGGTGAACTAATGGAAGATGACACAGGCAGGCATTTCTGTTAATCCTGTCACGGACTGTCCAAGACTACTGAGTTAAGGGCAACTCCAAACTAAAAGGTGATTATACCATTGTTTAGATTATGCCCACAGCTACTACACATTTCATACCTACTTCTTTCAAGTCCAGAATGCCTAGGGATAGACCAACTAAGCAGAGGAGCAAGACTTGCACGAGTGTCAATACACTAACCTTTGGACAATTAATTTCCAGTTAGTAATCTGTTGAGGGTTTGTACCAATATCTGTTGAACGTCTTTAATATCCTTGCACAAGCAGTGCAAGATTACTCTGAAGTACTTCACACAATCACATATTTTAAACTCAAACATGCTGTATACCAAATTTAATGAGATTCTGTAAGCTAGAAGCAGTCTGTTCTTACCCGATAGTGAGCAAGCTGCAGGGCAAGTTGCACGAAGGCATCAGGGCTGGTTTTTGCTTTCTTTATTAGTCCCTTCCCAAAAGTATCGAAGAAAAATGAGTAGAAGTCCACATCATCTGCTAGAGCTACGGCAGTGCTCAGAGACCTCTCAATCACTTCTTGACACTAAAATAAACAAACAAATATCTACATGCACATATGTGTACATGCATGCATTCGATGGCCTTTGAGAGAACTGTTGAAAAAGTCCAAGTATTTTTAATTGATCTAAGAAATGCTATCATTATGTGTGCCAGGAACATCATTCTCCAAATAATCTCCTTTTGGAGAAAGAGAAGCTATCTTTGCCAGAAAGAATTCAAAAAGCTAATTAAGTTAAGCCAATACACATCCAGAGTCCAAAAACTACACTTTAAGAAAAACACAAGCATTAAGCCTGTTGCAATTGCTAGAACATAAGAGAACAACCCTCAGAGACAGAATGGCAACAGTTGTGTGGCTTCCAATCTGCCATACGTGCTTAAACATAGCACGAAACATTACCTTTTTATTAAAATTAAAACCCAGGATAGGTGGTGGCAGTTTGTCTTGAACTCATGCAAAAAACCCCACCAAATCTTATTTGCCATGTATACAGAATTTTGAACACACAAAAAAAGACAGCTGATCTCAAGAAACTACCACACAAGAGCACTTGTTGTGATTAAGTGTAATGAAACCCCAGCAACTTGAACATAATTTAATACAGTTACTATTTAAAACAGGTGTCCACATATTTTTGACATGTTGCCAACCAAGAAAGTTTCTAATAAAAAACTGGCATTTCCTGGCCAGAATATTTAAAGAGTGATGTTAAAACCCCCTAATATCTTTTTAAGTGCACTGAGTAACGTCCACACATGAAATACACCTCTTACAGGACTCAAAGGAATTCAAAGCAAATTTATAGGGTTATCAGTAATTACTTAAACGATCTGACTGCTGAGGAAAAGAGGAACTTCTTCCTCAGACCACGAGCTGTTTTGTACTTACTTCTTCTGGAATTTCCCACTGTAGTTTGGTAGGAACAGGAATATTTTGATTGGTGTCTCCTTTGCAATGCCCATCTTCTGAATAGCCCAGTTCAAGATACTCCGTTGCCATGACATGCTGCAAGGAATGACACTCTTCAGAACCACCGCGCAGGACATGCTGCTGTGGAACTTCGATCAGGTTGTGAAACCCATATAACGCATTTTCAGTACACAGTGAAACATCATCCATTCCCAAATAGTCAAATCAGCTGCCAGTGAAGCCCTCCATCTTACCTCTTATTTTAAGGTACTTTCACTTCTGCTCTGAGTGGAAAGAATACCAGATACACCTACTCAATTACACTGGTGCATTTTGTCAGATGCTGCTGAATTAATCCAAAAGTTTCAGTTAAAAACCCAACTCAAACTTACCAGTAGGAAAAAAAAAAAAAAAACAGTCTTAGAGTCTTAGATTTCACAACCTTTGTTCAATTTAGATCCTAGAAAATTTCTGCAGATTTGTTATCTGTCAAAACTTGTTCATCAAGAAACAGTTTATTTCAGAGTAAGTGCATATCCCTGCAAGGATTTAGTAATTTTAACATTTGCATCCCATTCAACACTGCAGTTTATTTTATATGTGCACAACTAGAACTCTTGGGTGGGGAAACAAGAGTGTTTCCAAGATGAATACTTGAACAAGACCAAAAAGGCTCTGTCTTATGAGATTTCAAACAACATCCTAATTTAAAAAAAAAAATTAAAAAAAATTAAAATACAGAGTTATCAACAGATTTGAATCTGCTCAATATAGAAAGAAAAAGCTCGACAAAGAACTATTGCACGTTCTACATACATATTTCTAATCTCTTCTTTTAACTGAGTTTTCTCACTTAGTGGTCAGAACATGCCAACTATGAAATGAAGCTTAATCCATTCTATTCTAAAAACAGGCAATCTATAAAGAGCTAACTACAGGTAACTTTTTAGGAAATGAAATCCTACTTAAGTTTATTCTAGTCATCTTAATTCTCCTCAGAAAATGAACCAACTAATAGCAAGTACAGAGATATGAACTACAGCATGTAACACCATTCGTTAGAAGAAAAGCTCAGTAACTCTCTTCCACTGAGCTAGACTAGACTGCACTGTCAAGTCAATCTTGAATCACTGGCCTTCTTTCTTCCCTGGTCAGAGAATGCAATGAGGATTTTTGTTCTTACACACATGGAAATGCTCATATAATAAAATTAGGAAATTGCGCAAATTGCTTTCAGGTCTGACTGGTGCCCCAAGCAAACACATAAAGCAGAATTAGCCAATGGTTATGAAATAGTTTTGAGTGACTGAGTCACAGAACTGTCTATGGGTTTATATTTCAAAAAGAAAAAAAAAAAAATCAAACAGGATTCCAAGTAATAAACTAAGCTCACGGGGAACAGACCTGACAAAAAGTATGTTTATTCCATTCATTGCAAATCAATACAAGAGACAATTTAATCAGAGTATTGATCTGCAGCTCATCAAACACTGGCTTAGAGGAAAAGTTAAACCCTGTACCATTTCTTTAAATTTTGAAAGGAAGTGTGGGATTTTTATAGCACAAGAAAACCTAAGTGCTTCAGAAGCACGGATATACACAAAATACAATGCCATACCAAAGAGGCAACAATCTGCTGATTTAGAATGTTATAAACAAGTTAGATGGGAAGCTGTACCACTTTTCCATGAAGACATCCATGCTCATTAAAATGCAACAAAGACTTTAAATTAAAGGACAGCAATCTTATCTTTTAAGCAAGGGTGGGTTTTTTTCCCCAAGTTCTGCAGTTGCTGTAAACACAGGCCCATAATCACTCATCTGCAACATGGATGCAGGGGATCGAAGTTAACTGCTGATCTCCGGGACGGTTGCATGGACCACATCACACTACCTTCTGCATTAATTTTCTGCACTGAACACCTACCTCCCACAAGTGTCCAACAATAGGAGCATCTGCCCAGGAGTGCTCTGCATTCAGACCCATTCTGCCATTTTTGAATACTATAAGACTGAAAGTTTTATCAAACCACCTACAAAAGAAATCAAGATCTTATGGGTTTGTACATTTGAAAAGCATTTTTCTACTGCAATTTCATCACCTCTCTCAAAAATTCACATTCAAATGTTCAATGGTTCTTGGCTTGCTTTTTTAAAATAATAGTTTATTTAGATAGACGTACATTTGAGCCTCATGAAGTTCAACAAGGCCAAGTGCAAGGTCCTGCACCTGGGTCAGGGCAATTCCTGGTACCAGTAGACCAGGGGATGAGTGGATTGAGCAGCCCTGCAGAGAAGGACTTGAGGTACCAGTGGATGAAAATTTGGACATAAGCCATCAATGTGTGCCCACAGCCCAGAAAGCCAACTGTATCCTGGGCTGCATAAGCAGCAGTGCGGCCAGCAGGCCCACGGAGATGATCTTCCCCCTCTATCTGCTCTGGTGAGACCCCACCCGGAGTGCTGTCTCCAGCTCTGGGGTCCTCAGTACAAGACAGACACAGATCCGTTAAGAGCAGGTCCAGGGGAGGCCACAAAAGTGACCAAAGGGATGGAACACCTCTCCCACGAGGAACGGCTGACAGAGTTGGGGTTCAGCCTGGAGAAGAGAAGGGTCTGGGACACCTTCTTATGGCCTTTCAATATATAAAGGGAGCTTATAAGAGAAACTGAGAAAGACTTATTACCACGGCCTGTAGTGGCAGGACAAGGGGCAACAGCTATAAACCGAAAGAGGGTAGATTTACCATAAGGAAGAATTTTTTTTTTTTTTTTTACAATGAGGGCGATGAGACATAGCAACAGGTTGCCCAGAGAAGCTGCGGATGCCCCATCACTGGAAGTGTCCAAGGTCAGGTTGGACGGGGCTTTGAGCAATCTGAAAGATGTCCCTGCCTGTGGAAAGGGGGATAGACTAGATGATCTCTCAAAGTCCCTTCCAAACCAAACCCTTCTGTGATTCTATGAAATTTATCAGCTTAAAATCACTAATTCATACATTAGCCACATGAATTGGTGAAACTCTAAATAGTGAAGGTGTTTGCCACACAGTCAATACGTACCTGTCATAACATCTGCCATGTATTAAGGATTTTGCATATGCATCCAGTGACCTCACTGGATCTTCTTTCCTGTACCCCTGCTCAAGGTCATCCAATGTCACAAAAAAGGCTGCTTTTTCAACAGCATCTAAGGACTGTTTGTTCTTTCCACGGCTAAAATAAGCCTGTCGAGCTTTAGCCCATGGTACTCTGCAAAAAGAATTTGGTTTATAGCCAGATTACATGAATTTGTCAATGTTTTATCACCCTTAAGATCAAAATGATACATTCCTCCTACTTTTATCAAATTTGAAGCAATGACTTTCATTGCATTTAAACTATATCAGCAGTGAAGACTTCCAGAAAAATACACATACAATGTAATCCTAGGAACCAATTCAGCATACTATTACATGTGTGTGAAGCTTAATCCTCAGAAATTCAACATTTCTGCCGCACACAATACATATAGCATAATCATCAACGTTTATAACTTAATAAAAGAAAATATCTATTATACAGAAGAAGAAAATAGTAATAATAATGAAAACAATCAACAGACGTTAATATCCATTGTTGTAACACCTAAACCTAATTGCCTATAGAAAGTTCCATGGTAAATGCCTGAAACAGATCTGAAGTTAAATAAGTCCTGAACAATGCAATTTCTGTACGGTTGCAGCACATTTATTTATAAAATTATGTGGTTTTCCCAATGAAAAAATATTTCAGTTTGTTTTAAAGCAGAAAGTGAGAAAGAGGAAAGACTCCTAGTAAGACATTCAAATCCAGGGCTCTTTCTCTCCCTTGTCCACAAATAACTAGACAGATCAAACTAAGCTTGTCGCAATTTAATTGAATTCAGCGATCTGGCACCTAGAACCAATGGAGTACATACTGCGGTATTTTCTAGGTGCAAGTCATGAGTATGAAGTAATAGCTACTGCATTCACAGTCTCAATCTTAATTTTTAAGATATTCTTTAAAATGCCAGTGAACCCCAGAGCAGATATAAAACTCAAGTAATTCAACAGGTGTAATAACATAAAGCTTCCAGTTACCACTCTTATGATAACCACAATTAAATCAAACTTCTCCAGCTAAGTACAGGTAACTTGTACACAGGGTTGCCACTGCCAAATTACTTTGAACTCCATACAGCTACCAGTGACTCAGGAGCTGTTACATGCTAGCCATACACAAAATCTGCAATCAAGGTATAAGCAAGTGACTGTAGACCATTCCAAAATTCCAAAGCCAACATTCAATTAATGTGTTATGCAACTATTTCTAAACATTAAAGTTAATTTTAAAAATAATAACCACCATACCTATCTCCTGCAGTAAGAGCTGCTAGTTTCTCTTCACCAGCCTGAGGCTCTGATTCATCATCAAGAATTCTTTGCATCTGCTGTTCAATTTCTCGGGGTTTCAGCAGTCTGCCATCATGGTACAGCCACACTTTGAAGTAACGCCCCTTATGATACACAACAATGTGTTTGCTGTCTTTCACATGCTGAAGAGTATCTAGAATTGCAATCACTCATGTGAAAACAACTCATGTGAAGTCTCAAAACACTAATGCACTAAATAATACCAAATATCTACTGCATGCACTATCAGTTAGCTACAGCTTACTTATTTTAACAAAGTAATAAATAGTGTGGAATAAACCACTCCATGTTATTTCAGCATACAGATTCCTGCAGGAAACAGTCAAATACCCAGACCTGATAATCATTTGTATGTATAAGCATCACCAATTTCCACACTGGATGCCAATATTAAGCAACTAAATCTGTATTTCTGTGTCCGCACTAGTAGTGTGGTCTCATTAAGTGGTCAGCAAAAGAGCACCCTAGATGAAGCTGACGAAAGTTACTTTTAAGTCATCTGCATTCAAGTGCTGGACAACTCACGGTACAATCTGTGGGGAGTCTTGGAGAGCTCAAGTTTAGTATCATAAGCTTTTGTTCACATTTATCCTGGCAGATGCAGGGGGAATTCTCCATCTATGGCAAGAAGTGTAGTGCTACAGAAGCCAGTGAAGCAGAAACCTAGGTCACAAATTTTTCCTCACTGTATTATTTATATCGCTGAATTGGGATAAGCCTGAACTTCATAATGAACGCACTGAACGTACAGATGAAGGTTTCTACAGCAGCCAGGAAAAGTCTTCAGCTGATGAAAACTGTTAACTGAATTCCCTCACTACTCCAGAGAATGTTACATTCCTACGACTCTGAAAAGGCCCATTACTGAGAGTGCAGAAAGATGATGTCAAAAATGAGGGCTGAGCCTAAAAGTCATGATTCTACACTTCGGGTGCTCGGAGCTGTCTACAGTTTTGGTGGGTATGGTCCATCTGGTGCGTATGCTTCCACCAGGAGCAGTTTTATGCTAATCACAGCTTTAGCCACCCACTTGGCATTTCTGTCAAAGACAGGGCACCTGTGACAGAAGCGCTAGCATTGGCAGAAGCACCACTCCAACTGTCAGGTACATTAATACAATGGGCTGTGAACTGAGAAGAAACCCCATGGAGGGGGAAAGAAACAGCAAAGCCATCAGCTAGTGAGGTAACTTTTTCTGTAACCCCAACTCAAGTCAGGTCACCCCAAGTATGTGTCTCATGTACATGGTGTGTCCATACAAAAAAAAAAAAGACAACAACCTCTTGAGTGTAAAAAGCAAAAATGAGATCATTAGTCATCTACATCAACATCTCATTTCACAATAACCGGTGAGCCCTGGCAATTACCTTACTTATGGGCCTAAATACAGATTTATGCACCTGGAGTACAGAGTTATTGTAGTACAAAAAAAATCCTTTCCTTTCTCTTGCCAGTCTAAGTAGTCATGTATGTACATCTGACGATACATGTAACATGCTGCATGGGCTTCCTATAGAAAAAATGGGAATGGAGAGACATAAAGGCTCTTCCCTGCTTAAAAGCAGCAGTTCACTCCATAGTGTGTTTTGGTAAGACACACAAAGATTAAACAACTGCTCAGGTGGCAGGATAAAGTGTTCATTAAGATTTTACCACTCCTTAGCATGAAAACATGCCACAACTTTTTTAAAAATATGCTGCTCCTGTAGGAACTGTAACATACATAAAATAGTTCAAATGTAATTGAAATCAGGGGGCAAGAAATCAAGCTACTCATGAGAATCTGGGAAAAATGTCATTATAACTCACTTATCATACAGAATGACAAAAGTTCTTTTTCCTCTAGAAAACTGAAAGAGTAAAATAGGAAGTATGAAGTGCTTGGGAAGAAAAGAAGGTAATTTTGTGATTGTGACTGTCCTTTAATTTGAAAGACTTTAAGCAGGAGAAACTGAGAAGAACCATTAAGACACACAGGATGTACTTCGATCAGGAGTTATAATTAGAATGGGCCACTTGTACACTTGTACGCAAAACTCATTTCAGACTCCATCATGTCAGAGAGACCATCGAAGCTAAATGCAAACAGTCCATACCTTATATTTTACTGAGGCCAGGGAAGGGGCAAGGGTAGTGCTTTCAGTACATGAAGCAGTCTAAAAAAACAACAGCTCATACACTACGGGTGTCTAATAGATATTTCAAAGCTTGCTAGTTTACTTAAGCTAGTTCACAATTAGGAAGCAATCACATCAGCGATACGTTTCTCTCCATTTTGCAGATAAAGGATGCTGAGGCATAGTTGAGATAACTCCTCAATAATCTACCAAGGACCAGCAGCAGAACTGAGACTAAAATCCTCACCCAACACATGCACCTACTGCTTTATCCACTACCCAATGCCACTTCCCCCCTTACCCAATCATACAGTAAAGCAAATGCCAGACCTCCAGCAGTGAAGAGTAGGCACATCCATTTGTCTACTTAGAAACTCTTTATGGTTTTTCTGTAGTTGAGTGGGACTAACATGCTCAAAGGCAGCTTGAAATGCAAGTTACAGATCTCAAAGTAAAAAAAAAAAAAAAAATCGTGTCTTCAAGTGACAGCCCATATGCCCATTCCCGATGGACATGACTGAACAATAACCCCTTGCATTCCAAATTCCCAGAAATTGTCCTCTGCACCAATCATGACTATCACGATAACACTGCCAAATACTGTATTTCATTCTGGTGCTGCCACAATGATGTAGTGTTGGATAAAACATGAGAACTCAGTTCTAAGAGACTCTTTGGCATATAACTGAATCAGAGAAACCTAGATATAGCTTAAGCTTTTGTAGAGAACACAGGAACATCAGAACTGCTGTGAAATTATTAGTTTGCTTCACAAACAACGAGAAAATGGGTAGCAACGTTTTCTTTCACCTGTTGGCTACAAGTATTAGTATTTCTAGATGCAATCTGCTTCCTTTTACAAGTGACAAAACTCAGCAAAAAAAACCCAAAACAAGAAAAAAGCCACCATATATAGATCATAAAAACCAGCTTGAGCCTGGAAAGTTTAGGATAAGCTGATGGAGATCTTTGGAGGCTACCCTGGGGAGAAACCCATGATGAACATTTAGGGATACATTATGTTTAGAAAAATAACGCCATAATGAGAAGTTCATCCTCAGATCCTGGACAATGTATTGACCATCAAAAAGATATATCTCAACACAAAAATATCATAACAACAAACAATTTGTCAAAGGTTTGTCATTGACTAGAGTGTAATGCTTTTACGTCTATAGGCAGTGTTAATGAATGCATGGAACGAGAGCATACGCACACCTACAGTGAGAAAGCATACATGAACTGTCACAGATGCAATCAGGTTTTTTGACTGAGCTAACACGATTGCTTGTGATCATCCTTAGTGTCCCACAATAAATAGAGGTTGCAGGAACAGAGTCAGGTGAAAATGACCCTGCTGTAAGTCAACAGCCTCTCTATTCAACATTAAAATGTGAAAACTTAAGTTACTCACAGTTTAGGATAATCAGACCATTGCTGGGAGTTAGGGCAGAGCAGCAACCAACAAAACCCAGAGTATAGATTTTCTTAATGTGTTACAGGAAGTTTTGGATGCAGTCTTTATTACAGGTGATTTCACTTCACTGATGTCTTACAGTGCTTACAAAAGGTCAAGGTTACAGTGGCACTGGAAACCTTGATAGGACTAAGATTGTCCCTGCCCCTAAACCAGGCAAAAACTACTGTTGAACATATATTCATACTGAGAAGAATACAATTGGATGTTGTCAGGAATCACAAGCTGAAAGGAGAAAGCGAAAGTCAAGCAAGCAAAGGATTTAAAATGGTTGAGATATGAGAACACAACTTCTAAAAGATAAACATGTAGATATCAAAGGATCCTGAAAGACTAGAATGGAGAAAAGTAAAGGTTATTTATAAATTAAAAACAGAGGGCAGACAGTTTACTGAAGTTTTTAATTTAAGTAAAAGAAACAAAGAACACTGAAGAAGTTTCAAAATCACCCTAAAAGAAAACACATCCATGCACTCCAACAGCAATTCATTACTTCCTGAGCATCAGAACACAGTATTGCTTCTCGCGTTTGGAACAAACAGGATTTTAGCAGAAAATACATCAAAACCTGAATTCCACCAAGATGTTTATTCTCCTTGGCTGGCCCTGCTTACCTGATTCCTGTCCTGGGATACGGGAGGTATTAAACATCCGTTCCCACTGAGCTGAGCAGAGTGGAACTGTAGACCCCATCAGAAGAATCTGTGCCACAAATGTACATTAAAATGTAATTTTGTAAATACAATTAGCAAATTATAAAGGAAAAAAAGAAACAAGATCTGGTTAAAGACAGGGTGTAGAACAGGAAGGTTTATAATACATGAATTCAGGGTTGTTTTTTCCTCCCCACCCTGTTCATTGTCTTTCCTTGAACTACATGTGGAAGAAAACACTGACATTCCAGTAGCTGTATTTTCTTCCCTCCTATCAGCTCACCGTTCAGGAAAGCTGTATTTTTCCCCCTCCTATCAGCTCACCCCTTCAGGAAGGACAACTGAAGCTAGCTAGCATCTGAAATACAAAGAGTTCTCAATGGCTGGTCCGGATGCAAAGCTTACACATACAGCAAGCATTACCCCTGAATTTCTTCTTTTAAAAGCTATTTCCAGCTGTGTAGGAACAAAAGCTTGTATTTCTCAGATTTGTAGCTACACACAACTAATCAAATCCCTGCCATGACTTTCAACAAAACAACTTAATTGTTTCCACAATACTTGTTTGCTACAACACAGCTGAGAGAACAGAAATTCAGAGTGGGATTCACCTTACTATCTCTGCTACCCAGAAATTAGTGCAACACAGGATTTTACCATCATCTGTACTTAGGCTGCCACTGGCCCAATCTTGGCTTCAAGATCCAGTCCTTCACCCCAGCCACCCCTTGTGCTCACACTACATGATACCACGGACTTTTCAGAGTTCAGTGGCTCGAAAGTATCACCAAATGCTTAGCGCACACCAATAACATCTGTTATACAGAACATTTAACATATGCAAGTACAAGCCTCTATTTGTCTTTTGGGCAAATCCATATCTTTATTCCAACATTGCAATTAGTCAGCATGCCAGAATCCCGATTTTTGATAGTTAGTAGTTTCTGCCCATGTGCAATTCAAGTAATAACCCAAGATGTTTGGGACCAATTTATCCCCATTTTACATGTAGTTCTTACACTAAGACATTCCTCTCCTCTCCCATTCTGAAAATTGATCAGCTTCTTACAGACTGGGCTGGAAAAAGATCAAGACACATTTAAACTGATATACATACTGGCTTGATTTCTTGTCTATCCAGTTTTTTCCGATAGAGCAGGATAGCATGGATAACATTACCAGCTCTGGCTGCCTGCAGGGTTGTGGGAGATAAATAAAGGAAATCCTGCAAAGTACATAAGAATAGTAAGTCAATGATTATCAACTATATTTAAAAGAAATACTGATAGTACTTCTCATCCACATTCTGGTGTTTATTCTGGTCAATATAGAAAACACTTGAAAAACATACAAAGTGCACTAGTGCAGTGAGTTCATCACTTCAAACTTAAATTTCTTCAACAGTTATAATCTGCTTCAACCACACTGGTCCTAAAATATACATGATAGCTGTTACTCATCCAGTAGAAGAGACAATGCTACTTAAAACTTGAATCCCAGACTAGCATATTTCCTCTTTTTGCTTATAATTTTAGCATCTTTTACAATTTTACTTCCCATCCAGATATTTGCAAATACGAGCACACGCCTCGTTGAGTTGTTACCCATGAAGTTTTACAGGGAGCTTTTTAAAGACTGCTTGTGCAGTCAGCACAGACCTATGTCATTACTGCACGAGTTTGCCTAAGTGGCAGATGTGGTAAGTTTATTCTTAAGATAGCATTGTACTCGAAGACATTGGCTGCAGGTTATACTAGAAGAAAGAAAACCAAATGTCACACACTCAGCAGCAATAGATTTCTAAACAGAAAGACATCACGAAATAAGATCCCTGGCAGAAATTTTACAGTGCTTCTTTGACACATAAGGTGTTTATAGTATTTACCTACCATTGCAAAATAGTTACTGTTAACCATAATTGGTCCACGTCCTCTAAGGTAGATATATTCTTCCCACCAATCACTAACCTGCAGCAGGAAGGAAAACAAAAGCAGTAAAATCTCATGATCTCCACAGTTCGTGTCTTCTCTGTTAATGACTCCATAACACATTCCACACAGAAGCACGAAGGAAACTGCTAGCTTGCCCCTCTACTTAAAGACAAACAAAGACACCCTAGCTTGTGTTAAACTTTAGGGAAAACAGCAAAAAAGGGGCAAGAGAATGAAATGAAATTCAGCTGTAGCTCTCTGATAAGCTTCTGAAGAAGTCATCACCTTCAGATAACACTTAAAAATATATCAGATCTCCTGAAGGTTTTGCAGCCCTTGACAGGACAGCTTAGGCTACTGAGTACAGCTAGATGTTAGATAATACATCAGGAAGGAATTATATTACAGTTCTCATTAAGATGTTGGTGTTTGCGTTTTCTTTTTGGTAAGAAAAACACCGAAAAAACCCACAACTTGTTACAATTCTTTATTTCTCTTCCATATGCTTTAGCTGCTCTCTGTGAAAACACTTGTCCTAAATCAGTCTTCTAAACTCCCTGGGTAACTACACTCATTGTTGAATTATCACACTTAAGCAAATAAACAGACTTCAAAAGCAATCACAACAGCAAAAGCTAAGTCACCTGCTCCAGAATAACAAGCACGAAATGCGAATTCATTCTTTCAAGGTCCATTCACCACACTGTTTGGTTACCAAATCACACAAATTATTTCTGGGCAAATCAGCCCATCTTCAACACACTTTACAAAAACATTAGGCAGTTTTGATTGCCTGCTTTTACATTTAAGAAAGAATAACAGTTAAACCAAAAAAGGCAACAGGGAACAAATTAAGTTATGTCATTTGAACAATTGAGCCTCCTATTTATCCACTCACATAGTTTGTAGCCCACCAGGATTTCAGCTTCAAATACCACTGAAGCCTTGGTCCTAAATTAAATGCAAAATCTTTGGCAAGACCCTCCATTCTTCTGAACTCTTCATCATCCATAAGCGGTCGAACTGATTCCAGATACTTAGAACACAGGAAAAGAATCAGCACCAGTAAAGTAACTAATACATAGCTTCTGCCCATTCACACACAAAACATTTGAACAGTAGACAAAGATCATCCAGACTCAATTCATACAGTCGCAAATACTATGTTGTTACAATAAAAGTGTACACTCTTCTAAATATCTGTCTGCAAAATACAAAAGTGAGCTCTTTTCCCAGATATTTGTTAGCAAATCACAAGTGGAAAAGGTTACTTTTCTAAAGATACATTTTCCACTCAAAAGGGGAAGACATACTGCTTCTGTATCAGGCAAGAGACTTTTTTGGTCTCTGAAAAAAAAAAAAATAATCAAACCTTCAGTTTCTATGACATTCTGCCCTACTTACACACTTTGTTATAAGGTTTTGTGGCATAAAACGCATGTTTGTGTGTTCAAGCTGTGGAAGATAACAAATCCAATACGTTTCAAAAGCCCTGGAAATCACACTTTGTTGCACAGTCCTACATCAACAGGCATCCCATCATCCAATATGAATTATGCCAGCTTCAAATTGTCACTAGTTTCACTGGTTTGTCATAGCCTTCATTTTAATTTCTATGCAGAAGCTCTAATCCATTATACCATATTAATACCACCATGCAATACTTTTATAAGACATGGCAAAAAGCCCACAAGGGCATCTAAATACGGACTCAGTGCTACTGAAGAAAACGAATTAATGAATGTACACACCCTATTGACTGTGTCTTTAACAGCTGGAACTGGCAATCGTGGTAATGATGTCTGGAAACTGTATAACATGGGCTTACGTCCAGAGAAGAGCTTTACAAGCGCCTGAAGACAGACAAAAACAAAATACACACCTCAAATTATTAGGGTCAACAAAAGAAAAGTGACAGACTAATAAAGTGCAATGTAACTCAGAGTTCTTGTCACTGGTAAATTATACCATACTAAGTTTAGCAAACGATCATATTTATCACTGTTTCACAGATACAAGAGGCACTGATAGAAACTTTCTAAAGATGAAACATGTCAGTGGAAGAGAAAGACTGTCATCATCATTCCTGACCTCCCAGTCTTCTGGTCTTTAGGCAATACTGTCATTTATGAATGGCACACCTTGATCTCAACAAAAAATAGACACAGAGTTACTTAGCACTTCTTTTCTTCATCCATTTCCCTCTGGAAAGATTAAAAAACCCCAAGTCTACCAGTTGATCTTTTACCATGCAGTAAATACTACAAAAATATCTATATTGTGCTTCAAAACAGGAATCATTATCAGCCCGTCACTCAGCTAAGGATCCTAGATAACTATAGCCACCTTCAAAAATAATAATTATGCTTTAGAATCACAGTTTAATATTTTCTAAAGTCACAGCTCAACATCAACAATAGTATTGATGTTACAGCGAGTTTCTTCAAACATGAGTCTGTCTCAGGTAGCCTACTGCATGATCCGAACACACCAAATTGTGCAAGCATGCCAGTGTTATACTCCGTGCTGGTGTTACAAAAAAACAACAAAACAAAAAAGCCACAGATGACAGTTCCCATCTTAGCTTCAGATATTCCAGCAGCTCCTGTTTTCCACAGCAGGCTGAAGCAGCATTTCTGTCTGCAACTAATTCTTGGCTGTGACATGCACTAGGCTGAAAGTCTAGATCATGCAACTCTTAGGCTGCACATGCAGAATTTTAGCATTATCACTATTTCAGCATGAAAGTAAGGTCAAGTATTGCACCAACAATCCAGTGCAATGTTTTCTGTCAAGGTCCAATTTTAGTCTGATGTACAGCACTGTATGTTGTATACAGGCCAACAGACTACAGACCAAAGAAAACAGGGGATGTAATTTCACTGCTAAATTCCTAGAACTTCCCCTTGGTATCATGCCCTCAAGTGAAGAACTACTTGTAAAATGTAGAGTTCCCTGCCTCCCTCAATTTCCTTGATCAGCACAGCTAGAGAAGGCTGGTTTAGGCAGCATAAAACTATTAAGAATTGCAGAGTATTACCAGCCACAAAGACCCCCTGCAAATGGATCTGTATCTGAAAGTTGTCAGATGTACATGGATGCACCACAGTGATCAGCCTGATGAAATCTAGCTGTGCTTCATGACAAGATAAATTTGAAGCCAGATGAGAAATAAAAGCTAAGCTTTTCATAAGAAAATCTAGTTCCATACTTGGAGACAATTTTATTCCACAACTCTTAAGCCAGGAAAAGCTGAAACTTTTCTTCAGACAGGAAGAACCTGCTCAAGAGCAAACACATTTCACAGTTTTTTCTCTAAGTAAACCTGTAGCAGAGAATTTGTAACAGTTTGAGACTATTGAAGTGATCTGAAAGACACATACTTAATTACATCTCCGATTTCATACGCAGACACTGCAAATAATCTCACTCTAGCACGCGCTGCATCTGTTCACAGATTATTTTTTAAAACTGCAATTAATACTTGGATTTTCCCCCTAATTCTGGTACAGGAAATTTTTACTTTAGAAGATGAAATATGTTAATTAAAAGCGCTACTGGACTTCCAACCAGCCTGAAAAATCACTTTGTACTGTGACTGAAATCAGAGTTCAGGGTTTTGATTTGCAGGACTATTTGAACAGAACACAGTATATTCATGACACCATTTTTCATGCTGTCACTCAGCATGAAAAACAGCTAAGAAAAAAAAGCCACAACAGGAAAACCCCTCTGGAACATCACACAGTATTAAAGGACAATAAAATCTAGACAGCTAAGGTAGTTGGTACTGTTTTACTAAGGAAAACAGTCTTCTCTTTTGCTGGGACTAGCTAAAGAAAGACTAGGGTATTCAAATAGAACTTCACGTTAAGTATAGATTAAACACTGTTGGGCATACACCTTTACAGTGTTCTGTATTTTAAAACATATAATACACAACAAAATACATAGGCAACATATAATGGACAAAAATTTATAAATACAATAGGCAACAGCACTGTAAGTAGCATCACAGTTCGTACGTTTGAGGTTGATAAGGCAATATTAACAGCTTTAAAACATCCATCTGGTAGGACATGCTGAAAACCCAGACAGCTACAGCTTCAAGCAATGGACAGGACGCCTTACCATTCAGAGCCTGTACTGTACAAATTCGAGTCATGCGGCTCCTGATACCACTTCCAGGAGAAACTAGCAATCAGAAATTCCATTTGTAACAAATGAACATTAAATTCTACTTTAGTGTACCATTCTGAATACCTGTTCTTGAACATATTTCATAATAAATCATGACATGTTGTTAGTCTAACACATCAGCTAATTTTTGAGGCTGTAGACACTAGTTTTATCATAGTCCTGGCAAAAGTGAGTTGAAAGAATTAAGTCCAAGTACCAAAACCCCACTTCATCTTTTGGAGCACCTGTGTGTACATTTCCTCACTTTACACCTATCACATCCTTTAAGGATCCTTTTCCAAAGCACCACAATAATCAATGGCAGCAAGATCACCCTCTCCTTATGTGAAAACTGCACAAGCTACCTACCTTATACTTTTTCTCCAACTCGTTTTGGAGGCAGACCACTAAATCAATTGAAAGGACAGTCAGTATTTTCTTCAAGCGTAAGACTAATTTTAGAATGGATGACTAGAAATCCTAACATTTCAATAAATAATTAGAGTAGCACTTTCTGGGGAGGACAAAATTCTCTGGTGCTGCAGCCCAAGTTCTTTAAGCTGTACTTGCACATAGAGGAAAAAGTAGGTATTTAAGTCACATAGTCCCAAGGTGCTGGCAAATGTAGAAGTTATTCTTGAAGTGTTTACTCTTCCTTCTACAAGGCCATCCTGGGCAACTTAATTATAGCATCAGAAGGATGACAGTAATTAGCAAAAATATCTACCTAACAGCTTCCTGTCCCATGATGCAGAAAACACAAGCAACGAAAAACCTACAAAATTTTAGGGCTTTGAATACAGATCAAGTAGAAGTTAAGATGAAACAGCAAGAGAATATATCCTTACCATCCAAATCTTGGTGCCTGCAGAAAGTTTGCCATGTTCAGCGAACATCCAACCATGATAGGAAAGCAGCATTTTGAGGGAGTAGCGCATTGTGACAATAAGGGCAACCCAAAGCCCTGTGCCAAAAAGTATTCCACTGACGATGTTCTGTGTTTGGTTTGACATATAGCCACTACGTAAAACAAAAGCCAGCACGAGCCAGTTAATGTCAGTTGAAGTTCTGCAGAGAAGCTAGAATTGCAAACCTAAGTCTAATGGCACCACAGGCAGGCGTTACACAAGCTTCACACCTGTTTAGCCCTTTTTCATAAACTCCTTTCCAAACATCCTTTCAGGCAGCAAGATCAGAGGCCACAGAAGTTGCCAAGTGTGCTTCCCAAATAGTCAGCAAACAATGCAGTAATACTGGTATAACCACCTACCTGTTTCATACCCTCACACCTCCACTTACTTGGCTTAGTCAGCCAAAACACACTGCTCAAAAACTGGTATACTTTAACAGGATTAGCTTTAAGAGTAGGTACAAATAAAACTGATTTCCTTTAGAGGAACAGTAACTTTTCAGTCTACTTACGTTGTATCAAGTGTTCGGTTGATTTTAGCTATTATTCCTAAAGAAGGATCAATTTTGGCATACATTGTTGACATCACACCCACCACTACAATAAGCCAGCTAGATGGGCTAGCAGGATAAACGCCAGTGATAATTCCATTCTGGAAAGAAAAGCCTTCATATAATTTTTTCATACCAAAGTGGTTGACTTCATATTACCATGGAAAGAAACAAACAAACAAACAAAAAATCAAACACATTTAAGTCACTTAGTTTTAAACAAGAAGATTATCCAGCATTTTCTTACATATGCTTAAACTCAGGAGTAGGGAATGGATTAAGTTTGACTGCTACAGAAAATTGTCACAATTACATCAAGAATTAAAGGAACTTCTAAGTTCTTTTGTGGACAACACTGATCCTGCTGCAAGTTTTACTAAAAATACTGGAATTAGCAAACAACCATGGAACAAACGACACTTCAGTAATTCTCACTTACACTGAGCTAGGCTTCTCTAGGCGAATACATGGCAAAAATATTCGACTGAACAAGACACTGAAAAGCAGAGTTAAGTCTGGGGTTTTTTGTATCATTCACACAGTCCTTCTTATAACTTTATACAAAGATTTTAAGACTCCCGTTAAAAATACATTTTTGAAAGTGATGCTGAAGATATGCTGTGGCTTATCTAGTTTGCTACTAGTAAAATGGATACTCACCATTTACGATCCCATTAATACAACTAAACTCACAATGATCTACATCAGATACCTCACCAGAAGCATTATTCTTAGCATAACTCCTACTAGTTCAGGTAACTTTTTGAAAACAGCAAACGTTCTCCTTAATTTGAAAATAGAATTTTGGCCAAGAGTACATAAAATCAAGAGAGTAGTCTTGTACCTCTAAGTGATATGACTCTAAAAATCACCAGTTATTGCTTATGCTAAACGATTACATAGTTACACGAAGTATTATGAAGATAATGAAATAAATTAAAGCTATTGTTAATTTCGACATCTGTTTCATCTTGCTTCCATAGAATAAATCAAAAAGATGTACCCTTTCAGTCTTTACAGCATCACCCAGTGCTACCTTCCTCAGTATCCCTAAAACCCACACAAGTCTTTCACAATAACGAACTTTATTTGCCATAAAGGCAAAAAAACCAAACAAACAAAAAAATCAAGTTTTGCTTAAAATTTCAATAAATCTCTAAAACATTAAACAATCCTCAAGTTTGGGGGACCTGACTAATGTAAAATACCTTGAATCTGATGAACTTTTTCTTCCAGGAATGCACACCAGATAGGTAAATTTGTTTGAGTGCCTCATGGCTCATTCGCAGGTCAATCCCATCTGGAGTTACTGTAAATTGAAAAGCTACTGCTTGATGAGCTTCTGCCATTTTCAGAGTTCTGTCAAAGAGCACAGTTAAAAAATTATTTCCTTTTTGTTTAAAGGAACCAGGAGTTACTCCATTTCTAGCAAGATACCTTCTACACAGTAATTTTGGGAAATATTTCAAGACAGTACTTGCCTCTTCCTCACAGGCTATGCTTGCACTTCAGTCTGTGTGTCCAGTATGTTAATCAAGGCACCTCTTAACCGCAACAGCTGAAAACGGAAGCAAAACACTCTCGTGTGACTCAGGCCTTTTGGCAGGATTGCCACAAGCTGAATATCACGCATACATGCAACATATAAAAATCCAGAGCAGAGCAGAAAATTTAAGCCATAATATTTAGAAAAAGCACATTGCAGGTACATAGCATCTCACCCTAATGACAAAGAAGATTGTTTTAAAATGATAAAACATTTTCTGAAAAGATATTAAAGTCTTCACCTCAGCTAGCAAAACAAAGCTGCTTCTGGCCATATCTTCCTCTGAAATCTTTTCTATCTCTCAATTTCAAGCAGACTGGTCACAACAGTAAGACACTATAGCCCCTGTGGTTCTGAGTTCTGAATGGTAAATAGCTGCAAAATCAAAACTATGCAGAGTTGAGGAAGCCAGATCACAATTGTCAAAAAACGACCTTCACAAACAAATCTGAAATTAAGAGGAAATTTAATTGAACTGCAGCTCAGTTTAACTACCCAAACGAGTATCAGCAATGGTGCCAATACAGACAAAAGATCATCATAACGGGCAGGCATAACAGGCTCAAGCAAAAACCACTGGAAGTTAAAACAGAAATGTAACTGTGATTGTTTACATATTTATGTATCAACTCTGTCTGAGGATACACCCAAGCCAAATTGAACTGTATGCTCTCATTTACCACCTCATCTTCATAGCTTGCTTCTTTCTGTAACCAGCACTTCTACATAAATACCCTGGAAGCTGCCCCTACTAACCATTAATTTAGACCAATGTTATTTAAACACTTACAATCAGAACACAGATTTCTGCAGACAGACTCTGTGTATAACATTGAAATGGTCCCAACTACATATTCCCAAGGAGACCATCGTGACTCAAAGTCTTTTGTCCATACTCATTCATTAGCTTACTAAAACTTCTGTGCATAATCCTAACAACAACATCCTCCTAGAAGCATGGCAAAAAGGTAGAGAAATCCACAATCCCATCTGCATGTCAGGATTCAAGGGCAAGTTTCAGTTTCACATTTTTACTGGTACAACACACAAGTGTGGCACCAGCATTTAAGGTGGCACCCGCATTTCTATTTAAGCAAAATCGAAAGAAAGAGCAACTACATCATGCCTTTTGAATCCTAAAGGCTGAAATTTACATTTCTTTTGCAAACCTGAAGCTTAGGCTTTAATTAAACTTCAATTCTTGTAGACTTTCATACCCTTCTGAACCACATGCGAGGGCTAACCATTTAGCTGGGCACTTCAAAAGCAGTTTATTATGACTGCACTGCTGCTCCTCTAGTCTGTAAATACTGTGTCAAAGTCTTCTGGAGCACAAAGAGGGGTTGCATGATGTATGATTAGACAACTAGGTAATGTAAGCACTGGGAATGCTGCAGTAATAGCAGGCTTAGGAAATAAATACACAATATAGGAGAAAAGGAGCATTAGGCAGAGATGAACAAGATAAATGCTGCTGTGCAGCATCCAGTAAGGTTGCTGACCCATGGGTAGTGTCTGTTTGAGATATTTAAAGTGCCTGTCCCTAGACCAGCCCTCAATGATCAGCCTCTGCAGTACAACTACTACAGTGGCTTGATGGCAATTCACAGATCTCCCAAATCCAACAGCCACAGCTCAAGTTTTAGAGACTTAGTCCTGGGTGAATCAGGCTCCTGGGTTTCTAGAAGGGTTGCTAAAGCTCACAGTGTCAGGCAGATAGCATGCAATTTGCTCTGTGCATGTACAGTGTCTGATTAGGACAACAAAGAAACCAAATCAGCTTTGGACACCAGTTTCAAAGCCTTTAAGATAAGCCCTGTATGCTCTAGTAACAACTGCAATTTGTAGTATTTAATGACTCCGTCAGCAGTAACTGCTTATTCACAGGGGCCGTGCTGCAGGCAGGTATCAGGAAGCCAGTCAGCTCTCTGTTCATTCACTTAAATTGTGCACCACCAGTTCGACATTGAGACCAAAACTGCAAGACAGCAATAAGAGACAGGCAGCAGTAACACACGGTATGCCCTGGGCTCCAGAGGGTTTGCAAATGGGGAAAGCACTCAACGTTACAAATTCATTGTATATTTAGCAGAACTATTAAGACCGGGATGAAAACACCCCCATACAACAAACCAAATCCTACTCCCATACAGAGCACCTGGCACCTGGATTTGTCTCAAGAAGGACCAGCAGGCTCTCCAGTTCACTCACAGACCTGGGCTGCCAGTGACCTAGGTATAGATCAACCCACTGCTGCTGCCCTGCTGCCACTTCTCAGCCTGGGAATTCGTAACTGCCACCCTATTTCTGAGAGAGAATTTCAGGAACCCTTCCCTTTCTAGGCACGTGCATTCCTACTGTCCAAGGCAGGAAAAGATCACAATTAGTGTTAATCAAACAGTCAACCTGATACTTCAATGAATTAAAATGTAGCACGATCACAAAATTAAATAAGCCACAATAAGCAAAAATACTTATTTTTCCCGAATGAAGATATATTAGTGCAGCCAGAACTGATCCCGAAACGAGTGAACGAGCGTCGGAAACCACAGGCCGGTCGCAGGGCTGTAC